GGCAGATTCCAAGTCAAGGCCTCCCGACCCTAGCCGCCCTCCCGCCTCGCACCTCCCACCCCTGTCTGGGCTAGGCTGGGCTCTGGGGACAGTGGAGACTCCGGCGTCCATCCGCTGGGCTATCTCTGGATAGATGTCTCTGGAACCTGGCTCCTTCTCTCCCACCCACTGCCCCAGTTTGGGCTATTACAGGAACCTCCCTTCCGGCCTCTCTCCCTACCCTCTTCCTCCAATCTGAGGTCACACCTCAGGCAAAGAAACCCTGCTGACCGAGTTCTCTCCTGGTGTGAAGCCCTCTCACAGGCCTGCTTCTCACAGCAGACAGTGTGGTGTGTCTGCCTGGGGACACTCAGTAAAGGAGGCAGCCACCTTCCTGGCATGCCAGTTGCACTTGTTTTCAAATTATGGCTAATACATGCTGTCCGGTGGAATGCAAAATGTCCAGGGGGTTTTCTCGGAGGAGTTTGTGTGTGTTGGGGGCTGGGGCAGAAGAGGAGAGTGTCGCTCCTCCCAGGAAAGTTTCAGTGGCCACAGGGATAAAGGCACACTCACACCTGGTCCAGCAGGCCCGGCCACATCTGGCTCCCGAGGCCTCTCCAGCTGTGCATCAGCCACTCCTGAGTGTGCTTGGTGCTCCTGCCAGAACTCTCTCTAGCCTCTCCCTTACCATCAGCCTTTTACCGACTCTGACCAGAATGTCTTTCCACCTCTGTTTTTAGCCCTGTTTATTCTTTGAGGCCCGATCCCCAGCCCCCATCCTCCAGGAAGCCCTCCCGGATCCAACCTCATAATTGGATTTCCCACACACCGCCTTTCCCATAAATGGCAACACTGTTCCCTCAGCATCTCACCCTTCCCCCCTCACAGCTTCTCACCACAGGGTACTGTGCTCACTGCTTGGAAAAGCAGCCTCTCCAGGAGGCTACGAGCCCAGGAGGTCAGGCAGTGCCTCAACACTCCCTTCATTTGCTCATTCAGCTCCCATCCAGAGTTCCCCTTGATGCCAGGCCACCAGCTCAACATGTCCTCAGCTCACAATCTGAGGCAGAAACAAACCGACCAGTCACTGATTGAGTGGTAGAGTCAAACAACAAACAAATAAGCAACTCGGCCGAGGACCAACACCAGACCAGGCCCTCTGCTCAGGGCTGAGAACGAAGAACAGAGCAAAGCCCGTGGCTCCCTCATGGGGTTGCTAGTCTGGCCAGTGGCCAGTAGAGCCACTAAGTGCAAGGTGTGTCCCCAGGGCCATGGGGCTCTAGGCCAGCTGTGGAGTCCTTTTCTCTCTTCCTTTGTCTTTTTGGTAACCAATACGGCAATGAGCGAATGAATGAATATTTTCTGTGTGGGTCTTTTTGCGTGTGAGGTCGGAGACTCACGGGGCTTTCACCATGAATAAGCTCCGTAAATCCAGTCATCCAATAAATTATTGGTCAATGGACTGATTGACATGTCACCCAGGAAGTTGCTAGCAGCCACAGGGCTAGATTCCAGGTTCCCACTCCCTTGGAGTGTCCGCCACTCTGGACTTCCCCAGTGAGGAGCAAATCTCCCCTGTCTGCGGCTGTCTTGATGGGACTTGCCTGCAGCCTGGAGCTGCAGAGCCGGCTACAAACTCCCAGTAAAACAGCGTTCTTGGCTTGCCTCCCAAGGGGGTCCTGAGCATTAATTAGTTACCATTGGTAAAGTGCTCTGAAGACGTGGGGGTGTATCAACATGGGTGTATCAACATGGCGAGTCATTAGGCCTCTCCACACCACTGTGCACCACAGCCCGGGGACTGCTAATTGAGAAATAATTAACACCTCAGGGTGCAGAGGACAGCTGCCTGGCTTTTCCAGGATTGGAAGGGATGTCATCACATGCACCGGAGCCAGGAGAAATCAAAGGCTACTTTGGAAATGTGTGTTTGAGAAATTCATTTGCCTCCTGTCCTCAAAGAGAAGGAGAGAGGAATATCACCCCATTAAAACCTCTGGCAGCTGGGCAAGGTGGCTCTCACGCCTGTAATCCCAGCACTTTGGGAGACTGAGGATCCCTTGAGGCTAGGAGTTCACGACCATCCTGGACAATGTAGCAAGACCCTGGTTCTACAAACAAACAAACAAAAAATGTTTTTATTTAGCCAGGGCCGGGCTTGGTGACTCACGCCTGTAATCTCAGCACTTTGGGAAGCAGAGGCAGGAGGACTGCTTGAGTCCAGGAGTTTGAGACCAGCCTGGACAATATAGTGAGACCCTGTTTCAAAAATAAACAAACAAACAAACAAAAAACCCCTCTGGGACTGTATTCCTTGGGGAATATACCCCACAGTGTTGGACTGTGGAAGCCAAGAGAGACCCAGAGACAGAAGAGCTCGAGTTCACCCAGCGCTGCCTCCTAGCTGGTGGTAGAAGCATTGTGTGCGCCCCTGAGTTGCATTTCTTCAGCTGTAAGACCAGAATCATAACATGCAGCTACCCCTTCCCCACACCAGGTTGTCTCATGCCCTTCCTCTCGGCCAGCTGCCCTAAGCTAGACTGCACATTTCCTACTATTTAATACTAATGCCTGGGCCCACCCCAGACCCACAGCCAGCATCTTGGGGCGGGCTGGGGCATAGGTGCATATGATGGTTGAGAAACACTGCTCTGGCCTGTGTGTCAAGCACTGTGTTAGGAGGCATGAGAAATAAACATGTAAACCCCATCACACCCCACCTGTCCCTCACCCCAATTCCTCATTTCCTGATCGTGCCCTTGAGTGTCCTGGTCCTCTGCCTGGACGTTCCACTCCCCTCCACTGCTTTTCCTGTCCAGGTAAACCCCACTCATCCTTCAGGACCAGCCCCAAGGTCACCTCCTTGGTGAAGCCCTCCTGCCCCTGCTCCCACAGGGCTTTGTTCACCCCCATTACACCGCTGGTCACACAGGGTTGTTCCTGGAAGATCCTGGTGGGCTGAGAGCTTCTCAGAGCCAGTTTCAGAATCGCCAGTGTCTTGCGTCGGGTCTGGTTCATTTTAGGCACTCAATAAGCTAGTTTGTATTAGGTGGAGTTATCTGATATGTAGTTCCCGCTGCAGGACATTTGTACTTGTTGTTCCCTGTGTGTGTCCGGAACATTCGTCTCCAAGTGTCCTCCACTTCCCAGGGAGCAGCGGAGCCTGGTTGCAAGGTTCTGTGGCTCACCTCCTTCAGGTCTTCACTAAAATGCCACCTTCTCTATGAGGCTCTCCCTGATGCTCTTTTAAATTGCAAACACTTGGCCTTGTACTCCATTCATCTTCCTTGAGTGGTCTCCATAGTGTTTACCACCACCTGAGTGACGATCTGTCTAAAATGTTGATATTTTGTACACCATGTATTTCTTTTTGTTTTCTTTTCTTTTCTTTTTTTTTTTTTTTTTTAGTTGGAATCTCACTCCATTGCCCAGGCTGGAATGCAGTGGCATGCTCATGGCCACCCCAGTGTCATCCTGCTGGGCTCCAATGATCCTTCCACCTCAGCCTTCCAAGTAGCCGGAACTACAGGTGCTAGCTATCACGCTCGGCAATTTTTTTTTTTTTAATTGTAGAGGCGAGGTCTCGTCAAGTCGCCCAGGCTGGTCTCAAACCCGCGGGCACAGGCAATCCACTCATCTGGCCTCCCAAAGTGCTGGGATTACAGCCTGAGCCACTGAGCCTGGCCCACCATGGATTTTTACATTAATTTTTTTTTTTTTTTGAGTCAGGGTCTCACTCTGTTACCCATGCTGGAGTGCAGTGGCACGATCATGGCTCACTGCACTCCTGGGCTCAGGTGATCCTCTCTTCTCAACCTCTCAAATAACTAGGACTACAGATGCACACCACCACATCCAGCTAATTTTTTTTGATTTTTTGATGAGATGAGCTTTGCTATGTTACCCAGGCTGGTCTCGAACTCCTGGGCTCAAGCAATCCTCCCGCCTCAGCCTCCCAAAGTGCTGGGATTACAGGCTTGCTCCTGGCCCTAATTTTGGTTTTAAAAAATTAATTGAAGAAAATACTGTTAAAATACTGAGTTTTGCTATCTTAAATTTCACTGTATTTATTTATTTACTTATTTATTTCGAGTTGGAGTCTCACTTTGTCGCCCAGGCTGGAGTGCCCTGGCACACTCACAGCCACCCCAGAGTCGACCCACTGGGCTCTGTGATCCTTCCGCCTCAGCCTTCCAAGTAGCCAGAACTACAGGCGTGCGCTACCACGCCCGGCTAATTTTATTATTATTACTTACTGTAGATATGAGGTCTCGCCAATTTGCCCGGGCTGGTCTCGAATCGGCAGGATCAGGCAATCCACTCACCTCGGCCTCCCAAAGTGCTTGGGATGGCAGGCTGAGCCGCCGAGCGCGGCCTGGATTGATTTGTTGAGCGTCTTCTTTCTCTAGAACGCAAACTACACTGAATGCAGGGAATTTTGTCTGTTTTGTTCACTTCACAATCCCCCATGTCTACAAGAGTGGCTTGTACGTGGTAGCTGCTCAAAAAATATTTTGTGAATGAAAGTTTAAACTTGTGGCTTAAAGACTGTCTTGGGCACTGGGGCTAAGGTGCCTTTCTCCAACTGTTTCACAATTTTATAGTTCTTTAAACTGAAAACTCATAAAAATCATAGGGTAGATTAGAAACTACATGGGCCAGTGTGTTGTCACGGTTACACCGTCGCCAGCCTGCCTCTTATTCGGGGGGAGTGGGCGCGGCCTGGCAGTGGGCGGGAACTCCAGACTCAAATCCACGGATGTCGGCTTTGATCATAGAGCTACACCTCCCTAGGTCCTAGAGGGCACTTCCGGAACAGTGATACACTCATGGCTGCCCAGCACAATCTATGATCTTCGGAATAGCTGGGGGGTCTCTCTCTTTGGCTAAACTTCCGGAAAACCTCTCACGCGCGTCTGGGGGGGTGGGGCCAGGTCAACCACGCCTCCCTGAGTGCGGCTTTGCGATTGGCGGAAAGGACGGCGGGCGGGGCTGAAGGGGGCAGGCTCGTCCCTGGCGCAGGCGCGCTGGCCCGGCGCGGCGGTCGTCGCGGGCGGCGTTGGTTTGGACTGCAGGTAGCGAGCGTGGGTGACAGTGAGGCTTTGGGGACGGAAAGGGCCGGCGGAGTGAAGCAAGCGCCCGGCTCTGGGCGCGGAGACCCTGGAGTCTACTTCCCACGTGCATCCCGTCCTTGAACCGGGGCGGGCTCGCAGTCACACAAAGTCGTGGATATGTCATCTCCTGGTCTGTTTCTTCCGTTGTCAAATGAGGGCAGCGCTTCCTGGTCGGCCTCGGGTCTTCGTGAAAGGCGCGGTGTTTCCAGACGTGCCAGCTCTGGAAAGACCTTCGGGATCACCTGGTCGCTGAGCCTTTTACGTACGGGAAATCGGGAGGGTGGAGTGATTGCTCCAGGGTCACCCAGCGAGCAAAGGCCGAGCCAGCTCTTGGAACTGGGTCTGGGGTGCCCTTGCTGTTTTATGCAGCACCATCCCTGATGGAAGCCGTGGGCTTTGGAGGCGAGGACCTTGCCTCCCTTGGGTGACCCTGCCCTCATTTCCTGTGTCACTTGAACCCGCCGTTGATGGATTATAAGGATGGGGTCAGCTGTCTTTGTATCTGTAACATGGGGTCTGGACCGACAGGAGTCAAGAATCTCCGTTCGTTCGTGGCCAGAACATGTCCTGAGCGTCTGCTATAGCCAGGCACTGTGCTGGATGCTGCAGACACAGCTTGGGACAAAGTAGACATAGCTACTGCCCTCAGGGAGATTACGAGCTAAGTCAGTTCAGGTGCACAGCCAGGCTTCTGAGTGGTTCTCCCAGTGTGGTCCCTGGACCAGCGTCATCACCATCACCTGGGACTTACTGAATCGGAAGCTCTGGGGCAGGGGCCCTGCAATCAGTGTTGTCACAAGCCCTGCGGGGATTCTGATGCTCGACTGAATTTCGGAACCACTGGGCTTCTGTAATGTAGCGAGCGGTACTGAGGGTCTAACCCAAGGTTGAGGCAGTAAGGGCCAAAAAGGAGGGCGGTGGGCTTGAGAGTAATCTTGGAGACAGACTCATCTGCTTGAGGAGGAGTCAAGGGTAAAGGAGTTTCTGACTTGGGCCACTGGCCTAAGGTCAGACTGCAAGTGAGTAATGGGCTCTGGAAGTACCTCCCAACATTTTTTTGTTTCTCTTTTTGAGACAGGGTATTGGTCTGTCACCCAGACTGGATGACAGCTGATCATAGCTTACTGCAGCCTCAAACTCCTGGCCTTAAGTGATCCTCCTGCCTTGGCCTCCCAAAGTACTGAGGTTACAGGCGTAAGCCACCATGCCAAGCCCCAATCTTTTAACATTTGTACAGTGCACAAGGGAAAAGTATGAGGCCTCTCAAGGTTGGACAGGACCAGCTGGAGGACCTGAGGCTGCTGAAGGCTGGAGATAACCAGCTGGGGGATTCCAGCTCCCTAGAGCTGAGAGGAATCAGTAACTGATTCTCAGATACTGTGGGGAGCTTTGCTCTGTGGACTGTGCTGGAAAGTGGAGGTACTCACTGGATATGGCAGTGTGAGTCAAGAATCTTAAAAGAGCTTGTATCTTTTGACTCAGTGATTCTTTTTTTTTTTTTGAGTCAGGGTCTCACTCTGTTACCCAGATTATGGTAATTATTAGCATTAGGCTCAAATCCCATGGCTTCCTTCAGGGATTGTGCTGTATAAAACAGATTAGATTATTAGCATGATTATGGCTCAGCACAGCCTCAACTCCTGGGTTCAAACAATCCTCCCTCCTCAGCCTCTTGAGTAGCTGGGACTACAGGTGTGTGCCCCTACACCTGGCTAATCTTTTTTATGTTTTGTAGAGATGAGGTCTTACTATGTTTCCCAGACTGGTCTCGAACTCCTGGATTCAAACAGTTCTCCCACCTCAGCCTCCCAAAGTGCTGGAATGACAGGCGTGAGCCACCATGCCTGGCTAATAATTCCATTTCTGAAAATTTCTCCCAAATATAAAACAAAGAAGAAAGCCTTCTGCTTATTGTAGATGATGTGTAATAGGGAAAACTAACAACTCTTTTTATATAGTCAATCAACAGAATGTTGTACTGCCATTAGAAAGGTGTGGATAGCTTGTAAAATCATGGAGAAATGTACTTGCGTATTGGACAAGGTCTAGAACGCCCCTGCCATGTGCTGAGGATACAGTGGTGAGCAAGCTCGTTACGGTCCCGGCCTGCAGAACCGAGTGTCTAGGAAGACAGGCAGCCAGGTGAGCAGGGCCCAGAGTGATTGGTATTTGATGGGACCAGGGGGCTCTGCAGGAGAAACCAGTCTTGGAGGCAAGGAGAGTGGGACGGGGAGGCCATCCTATAGGTGAGGATGGTCATCCTGAGGCCTGGAAGGTGGGTAGATGTTAGCACAAAAGGGGCAAGGGATATTCTGTGAGAGTAGACTGTGTGTTTAAGAGTGAGCATGGTGCAGCTGGGTCAGGAGAGGGCAACGGTGAGGGGCCCGCTCACTGTGGTAGCGGGGAGCTGTGTACACCCTAAGGGTCAGAAGCAGACCTTATCCTAAAGGTAGCAGGAGGCATTTTCAGCAAGAAAAACTCTTCCCGTTTTTGCACTGGAAGTCTTCCCTATGGCTGCAGCAAGGAGAATGGATTGAAGGAGGGCAGGAATGGCGGCCAGGAGGTCAGCAAGGAGGCTGTGGCGGTAGCCCAGATGACAAGGTGGTGGCCTAGACCTAGGTGGAGGCTGTGGAGAGGAAGGGGGCAGATCGGACAATAGGTGAGGAGCCAGGAACAACAGGCCAAGAGGGCTGGTGAACGTGGGCACAGGGAGGGGGAAGCAGGTGAATCCAAGTTCTGGGGTGGGCAGGGCAGCTTGTGGGGCCACTCAGTGGTTGGCAGCACTGAAGGGGAATGGGCTTGGGGGAAGAGGCTGAGCTCATCCTAGGCTGCGGAGTTTGAAGTGCCTGCATCGTGTGTTCCCCAGGAGGCAGTCGGATGTGGAGAGCTGAAGCCCAAGAGATGGATACACAGGGAGCGAGGGTGGTGGTGACTCAGAAACGGAATGTCAGCAGCGGCCAACTCTGGGCCAAGGGATTATTGTTGATGTTATTTTATTTTTTATTTTGGGGTTCAGTTTTTTTTTTCTCCCCAGTTTTCTGTAACAATAGCAACCATCAGTTGAGCTCATAGTATATGCCAGTACTGTGCTAAGAGCTTTTTTGCAATTCTTCTAAATTCCCACCTTAAACCTACAAGGTGGGTCTGTTGTTATTACCATGTTTAAGATGAAGAAACTGAGCAGAGAGGGGTTAAGGCACATGGCCCCGGGGTGCAGCCTGTGGGCAGCCCAGCTAGAATCCAGGCTGCCCTATTTCGGAGCCCGTGCCTTTACTACGTGATGGTGTCTCTCCACAGCATGTTGCTATGTTTTTATAATCAGGAAAATATTGATTTTTTTTTTTTTTTTTACAAACGGAAGTAAGAAGTAAGAGAAGCAGTGCTTTGATCTGCCGGGATGTTAGAAATGGAAGGCTCTGTATCTACAAAATCGGCGGCTGGCTTAGAAGTGTGTTGGAGACCAGACTGAGCGGGCTGCCTGGTGGTGTAAGGACCCAGCTGACACTCATTTTCACACAACTCATCTTTTTCCAGGTGCCAGAGCTTCCCTGTGCCGGGGTCATGGAAGGGCTGCTGATGAGAGGCAGAGCGTTGCCTGTCCTGGCCACCTGCAGCTGCCAGCTGTCGGGGGCTGTTCCTCGCAGGTTTCACCACTGTGCCCCAGGGAGAGCGCAGCGCTTGGTGCTGTCCCGTGTGTTCCAGCCACAGAACCTTCGGGAAGACCAGGTGCTCTCCCTGGAGGGCAAGTCTGGCGACCTGACCTGCAAGAGCCAGCAGCTGATGCTGCAGGTAGGCCTGATCCACCCAGCCAGCCCCGGCTGCTACCACCTCCTGCCTTATGCGGTCCGCGCCATGGAGAAGCTCGTGCGGGTCATAGACCAGGAGATGCAGGCCATCGGGGGCCAGAAAGTCAACATGCCCAGCCTCAGCCCAGCGGAGCTCTGGCGAGCCACCGACCGGTGGGACTTGATGGGCAAGGAACTGCTGAGACTTAGAGACAGACATGGCAAGGATTACTGCTTAGGACCAACTCACGAGGAAGCCATCACAGCCCTGGTCGCCTCCCAGAAGAAGCTGTCCTACAAACAGCTTCCGCTCCTGCTGTACCAAGTGACGAGGAAGTTTCGGGACGAGCCCAGGCCCCGCTTCGGCCTTCTGCGTGGCCGAGAGTTTTACATGAAGGATATGTACACCTTCGACTCTTCCCCGGAGGCCGCCCGGCAGACCTACGGCCTGGTGTGTGATGCCTACTGCAGCCTGCTGGACAGGCTGGGGCTGCCCTTTATCAAGGTCCAGGCCCACGTGGGCAGCGTCGGGGGCACGATGTCTCACGAGTTCCAGCTCCCAGTGGATGTTGGAGAGGACCGGCTTGCCATCTGTCCCAGCTGCAGCTTCTCAGCCAACGTGGAGACACTAGATGTGTCACAAACGAACTGCCCTGCTTGCCGGGGCCCACTGACTGAAACCAAAGGCATCGAGGTGGGGCACACGTTTTACCTGGGCACCAAGTACTCATCCGTTTTCAACGCCCAGTTCACCGACGTGCACTGCAAGCCACACCTGGCCGAAATGGGGTGCTACGGCTTGGGCGTGACACGGATCTTGGCTGCTGCCATTGAAGTCCTCTCTACGGAAGACTGTGTCCGCTGGCCCTGCCTCCTGGCCCCTTACCAGGTCTGCCTCATCCCCCCTAAGAAGGGTAGTAAGGAGGCGGCGGCCACAGGGCTCACCGAGCAGCTATATGACCACGTCACGGAGGTGGTGCCTCAGCTCCGTGGGGAGATGCTGCTGGACGACAGGGCCCACCTGACCATTGGAAACAGGCTGAAGGACGCCAAGAAGTTTGGCTACCCCTATGTGGTCATTGCAGGCAAGAGGGCCCTGGAGGACCCAGCCCATTTTGAGGTTTGGCATCAGAATGCTGGTGAGGTGATCTTCCTCACCCAAGAAGGAGTCGTGGAATTACTGACCCAAGTACAGACTGTCTAAACGCCCCCAGCCCAACTCGCAGCCTAGGTGTCCGCTCTAACTCTGCATTTCCCTACACTCCTTTCCTGGCTGGTCTCTCCGGAAACAGGGCAGCTCACAGAAGGTGACATCAGGGAAACCAGTACTTATCCAGTCATTTGTTCAGGTTACTTATACTTAGTCATGAATTTGATCCCTTTCTCTGGGCTGGTCATGCTGCCGTATTCCATTCCTTTTTTTCTTTTTTTTGAGTTGGGTTCTCACTCTGTTGCCCAGGCTGGAGTGCAGTGGCACAATCACAGCTCACTGAAGCCTTAACCTCCTGGTCTCAGGCAATCCTTCTGCCTCAGCCTCCCAAGTAGCTGGGACTACAGGCACATGCCACTACGCTCAGCTAAATTTTTTGATTTTTTCTGGAGACCTTGTCTTGTGATGTTGCCCAGGCTGGACTCAAACTCCTGAGCTCGAGCAGTTCTGCCACCTCAGCCTCCCGAAGTGCTGGGATTGCAGGCGTGAGCCGCTGTACCCGGCCCCGTTCCTTTTTATTCCATTGTGGAAGCTTTTATTAGGAGGCTGAGAAGCAAGAAAGATGCCCGAGTTCTGGTCTTGACCCTCGGCCGAGCCGCTTCCCTTCTTCCAGCTGACTTGTCCACATGTAGGATGGGAGTGGTTGAGGGGCCCTCACGCTCCCGCCCCCCAGCGATCTGACCATGGACTTCTTGCTGCATTGGAGCCAAAGAACAGGCCCCAGCCCCCGTCCACTGAGAAGCTGGGCTGACAGGGTAAGGAAAATAATCAGGAGATCTGACCCCCAACAGCTCACTGGTGATTTAGCAATGTCCCCTCCCCTGCCGGAGCCTCAGTTTCCCCATGTGTAGCATGAGAAAACGGAGCTATATCTGTAAAGTCCTTAGTGGTGTCACTGGGTGGCTCCCTGTGAAAGGTGGTGTAATTAGCAGGTGGTCTAAACACTACCTCCAGAGACCTGGCCCTATTAAGGCGCTTAAGCCCTGAGATCACATGTTATTGATCGAATAAAGCCAAACTATTAGAATGAACCTTGCGTGTTAATTTGAAACAATAACTTCTACCATTGTAACAGCACAGCAGCTTCCTACTCCTTTTCTTTCTTTTTCTACACTCCAAAAGAAAAACTGGGTGGTTGGGCAGTTGTGAGTTAACCCATTTCTTCCCACAGGCGTCAGGGCAGCAGGCTTCAGCCACCGCAGTGACCTTGTCCTGGGTACAGCGTTGGAGCCTGGAGCCACAGCGGGGTGAACACCGAGAGCTGGTCTCCATCTGAATCCTGTGGAAAACTGGAAGCGGACAGAGCCACCACAGCAAGTCTGCCTCCGTCTGCTTCTCCTGCACCCTAGATAGGGACACGACAAGTTTTCCCTCCTTGGCCCCACGGTGTCTCTGTGCCCGAGTCTCACAAGCATCTGTCAAAGCCAGGCTCCAGGCCGCCACCTAAAAGGCTGCCTGCCAGCTTCTGGCGGCAGCTTGCCTCCTGCAGCACTGATCAGCCCCTTTTTAAAAATTTATTGTAGAGACGAGATCTCGCCAAGTTGTCCAGACTGGTCTCAAACTCCTGGGCTCAGGCGATCCTCTCACCTCTGCCTCCCAAAGTGCTGGAATGACAGGTGTGAGCCTCCGTGCCCGGCAACCCCTTCTAGTTTCGCGCATGTACAGCTAGCTCATTGCACAGCGGTCCAGCCTTTGTGGGTATCAGGGAGCTCCCTGAGTCCGGGCCTGAGCTGGTTCCTGGTGCACTGCGGTTCTTGCCTCGGCCCGCTGTTGGCCTGCTGAGCAGCCCCTGGAAGCTTGTTGCTGCCGCTGCTGTTACTGCTGGAGTCATCCTGCCCCAACATGCACACCATCAGGTTTCCCAAGAAGGTATGTGCTGAGCCCTGGTGGCTTCCGGCCCTCTGGCTGCAGCTCCAGGCCCAGGATTCCTTTGGCATGCTTTAGCGCTTCAGGCCGGGGGTGTGGGTTCCCTGAGTGAACCTGGAAAGGCTACGTTGCACACAGAGGAGCTGCCACTTGCTCCCGGTGGGAGTCACCTGGGTCCCACCTGGAGGGTCTAGTGATGGAGGGGTGTGGCCTAGGCGCTGGGAGGTTTGAAGTTCCCCAGCTGATTCAAATGTGCAAAGTTGACTGAGAGTCCCTGGTGTAAGAGCCACTTTCTCTGGGCCCACCGTGAGGTGTGGTTATTAGCCAGGTGTGGTTGTGTGCACCTCCAGTCCCAGTTATTCATGAGGCTGAGGCAGAAGAATCACCTGAGCACAGGAGGTCAAGACTAGTGAGCTGTGACCGTGCCACTGCACTCCGGCCTGGGTAACACAGTGAGACCCCGACTCAAGAAAAATAAATAATGACAGAGCTAAAATCCAGGCCCTGGCCAAAACCTGTGCCCTTCCCAATATACTGCTTGGCCTCTGCCAAGGCAAAAGTGGCAACTTACTTGAGGATGCACAACTGTTAATGATCAGAGCTAAGACTGCCATCACTCTGCTTTTAGGGGTCTGTTCATGTATTTGTTGAGGGCCTGCTGTGGGCCACTGTGCTATGAGGCACTTTTTTTTTTGAGTCAGGGTCTCACTCATCGCACAGTGGCATGATCACAGCTCACCACAGCCTTGGCCTTCTAGGCTCTGGCGATCTGTCCACCTCAGCCTCCTAACATGCTGAGATGGCAGGCATGCGCCACCACACTCAGCTAATTTTCTTTTCCTTTCTTTTTTTTAGAGATGAGGTCTTGCTGTGTTGCCCAGACTAGTCTCAAAATCCTGGGCTCAAGCAGCCCCCTTGCCTTGGCCTCCCAAAGTGCTGGGATTACAGGTGTGAGCCACCATGACAGGCTGTGAGACACTTTTATTTATTTATTTATTTTGAGTTGGAGTCTCACTCCATCACCCAGGCTAGAGTGCAGTGGGAAGCTCACGGCCACCACAGCCTCAATCTGCTGAGTTCAGGCAATCCTTCCACCTCAGCCTTCTAAGGAACTATGAATGCGGGCCACCACGCCTGGCTAATTTTTAAAAATTTATTGTAGAGATGAGATCTCGCCAGGTTGCCCAGGTTGGTCTCAAACCCATGGGCTCAAGCAGTTCTCTCACCTCAGCCTTCCAAAGTGCTGGGATTATAGGCGTGAGCCACCGCACCCAGCCTGAGGCACTTTTATATACCATTTTCAGACCCTACAGTTGTGCAAGGTAGGTGTTGTCATTCTCATTTTCCAGGGCTCCTTAGATTAAAGCAACTTACTCAAGAATGCACAACTGTTAATGATCAGAACTAAGGCCCCGCACAGTGGCTTATGCCTGTAATCTCAGCACTTTGGAAGACCGAGGCAGGAGAATCACTTGAGCCCAGGAGTTCAAGACCAGCCCAGGCAACATAGCAAAACCTCGTCTCTACAAAAATTAGAAAACTTAGCCAGGTGTGGTTGTGTGCACTTCCAGTCCCAGTTACTCACGAGGCTGAGGCAGAAGGATCACCTGAGCACAGGAGGTCAAGACTAGTGAGCTGTGACCGTGTCACTGCACTCTGGCCTGGGTGACAGAGTGAGACCTGACTCAAGAAAAATAACGATCAGAGCTAAAATCCAGGCCCTGGCCAAAAACTATGCCCTTCCCAATATACTGCTCGGCTTCTGCCAAGACAAAAATAATTTCCATAAATAAAAATGAATTCTTTATAGCTGTCTAATCAAGTTAGCCTAAAGTATGTGCGAAATTAGAATTCATGCAAATGGTGCTTTAAATACATTTTTTAACTTTAAATTTGTGCTCCATGAGTGTGCCTATTTATTGTAGGGCTAGCCTAATGTAAGCACTTTAAAAACCAGATTCCAGGAATAGAGAGCCAATTAATTTCACTCTTCATAACACATGTGAGTCCTGGAATGATTTGAAGATGTATAATCCTGGAACTTGAGAATGGAGGAGAACCCAGAGCTGGCCTCTCCAGCCATCGGTTCACAGATGGGAAGCCGGCCTAGGGCAGGAATGAACCTGGCCCGTGTCATCGGACTAGCAACACACCAGAGGACAGGCCAGGCACTGCCCCTCTTCAGTCGGTCCTGTTGACTGAAGACTGGCTGGATCAGCCTCTGAGCTGCCTGCTGGAACAGGCCCTGGGCTCCTCATTTTACAGTAGAGAGACAAATCCAGGGAAGACAGTGATTGCCCAAAGTCAGGCTGAACGAGACCAACTGTCCTGATCATGAAGTCAGAGTTTCTTCTAGTAGCCAGAGCAGTGTGAATTGGTGGAAAGATCAGAGCCTTGAAGACACATAACCCAAGATTCACTTACTGGGGATGTGACTGCAGACAAATGACCTGCCCTTCGTGTGTCTCAGATTCTTCTTCATAAGACACTCGTGCTAATGGTGTCCACCTCGTAGAGTGGCTTGGGGGTTGCCCTATCTCACTGGTATGAAATGCTCAGTTAACCCTTTTTCAACACTCGAGAGACACTTCCCTTACGCCAGACAACTTAGGAAATCCCCCCACAGGGAGCTCAGTTCTGCTGTTAACTTTGTTATCTCGAGATCTGGATCTTGTTTTCTTGATAGAAAATATTGCAACCTTCCTGGGGAATGCCACGGGCAAGAATTAGGTAACACCTGCAGAATAGTTTCATTCATCTCCTTTGAGGAAAGATGGAAACCTTCAAGCTGTGTTCCTTACTCTCGTTTCTGAACTTGCCCGGTTTACCTCTTGCCGTCAGTTGATGAAATGGGGATGCTGCCAAAATAGCAGGAGCAGGCTGTGTCATCACTGCTCCTTCCTCAGGGAGGCCCAGAAGCACCGGCTGGGAAATACTTAGCAGGATGAATACCTGGGGACAGAGGCTGGTGCGTAACAAAACCATCGTGTAAATCAAGCTTGGAATGTAAATCAAGGGCTCCATTAATATTCTGTGTTTTAATGGAAGAAACACCTGCTGGGCTACCAATAAAGGAGCTTTTCAGAAACCTACTGAAACTGTCATTTTCTTAACCACTTGGGTGCCAGGTCTCTTCAGAGCTCCCACGGTCCATTTCTACACCAAGATGCCAGGATGCTTTTTAGAACAGATCGCTACGCAC